AAAAAAAAAAAAAGCAAAATCCAACAACTTGCAAATTAGATTCTCTATCAAGAAGAGCCGAATGTTATTAAGTTTGTGTGTGAGTTTACTTGGGGAGAGAATCTATGACTGCTATTAATATTAGGGAAACACTACATGCACCAGAAGTTAGACTAATACTACGGGCGCTACCTCTACCCATTACCTACGATGCCTTCCAACAAAGCCTTTTAATCTGCAGTGTCAAACTAAACATCACTTTTATAAAGTCACTATATTGGTTTGTTTCTTTTCAGATAAAAAGAAGCTGTTATTCTTTATTTTAACTTTATATTGTCAGTTCTACCAACAAAGAACCAAGATCAATCACATGCAATTATGATAATATCGTATTTTATATCAGAGAGAGTGAACTGAACTGCCTCAGGCTAGGTAAAGACTTTGGTTGTGTGAAATTGTATAGTGACTCTACATGCAGTACTTACAAGAAGCGCCCGTAGTATTAGCTTATTTTCTGGTGTGCGTAGTGTTGGCCTTTTATTATTGTGGTCACCGACATTATTTGTGCTTATATTATTATTATTATACTAATAGCTACTATAGTTATTATTATAAGATTTTCTTATCGGATTCGATAGAAGAATGTAAATTAGAATGTATATGTTTTATTATAAAAGAACATAAAGCATACAGGCCACAGGAACCAAGGCAAGGAATGACCACCAAAGATGGGGCCTAGTAGGTGCATACCCGCTTTTTCTTCTTCAAGAAGCTTGACAATAGACGGGTTGATAACGTTGGACAGACTTTTCGAAAGAGTACCACCAGTCAGAATATTCTTTGCCAAAGAGCTGACATGCTCCGTTTTGAACTTTTCAAGCTCCAAGACACTCTCGGCCAGGAGGCACTATCATAAAAAACAAAGGTTAGTTAAGTGGATAATTCAAATGGAAAATAAAATTAACACAATACCCTCATCATTCAGAAGAACTTGACAAAACTGGAGAGGGCTTCCAGTTTGTCAGAAATATGTGGCCTAATGACCAAGGTGTCTTCAAACCATAGCTCAAAGAGGGGACCTTGGCTTTCAAAGCACAGGTTCCAAAGGTGGGTATTTTCACCTTAAGTTATTAGAGAAGATAAGGAGCAGGACAAACAGAATAGACAGATGAACATTGGTAACTTATCGGCACCATGAACAAAGAAAACTTCGACCTTCTCGAAGGTCTTCAGATTTGCCATTGAGAATCCATCGACAATGCCTTTCAGTATTGCGAGGCCCCAAAAGAAACTCTTATGATGGTCGTAAGAAGCCTTCGACCTGCCTGCGGGCCCAAAGCAGCCTAAAACAAACCAAAAAACTATTGCAAAGATTAAGTTTATAGTAAGTCATCTTGTCTATATGGTACGATTGATAGACGTGAATCTTACCTATGTTGGGCTTTTTAAGTCGACGGCAGGCAAAGTAAATTCTTTATTGAAAAGAGATGCATTAAAAAAAAAGAAGTTACAAGGAGAGAGACTATGACTGTTATTTATATGTAATGTTGTCAATATTATCATCATTTGATGCACGATAAACACATAGGGAGTAAAATATATAAGCCCTACTAAACGGCCACAAAAGAGTATTATAATAGTTTATTAGCTCTAAAGCACGAAAAAAACCACCTGCTTGTCTCCAGTCCATTCGAGCTTCGCGTCACTTTTTCATGTTCATCTTGAAAATAGCATTGGCATCGGCCCAAGATGAGTTGCTTGTGAAGACTGTAGTGAATAGTAAATTGGCCAAAGTGTTTTGGTTGTCGATACACCATATATCATCTAATATAGTCCTTTTCTCCATATCTGGCCTCAAGGGGCAATGGAAAAAGAGAAGAGATGAGAGAGAGAAAAAAAATAGGATTTAACTTAGGGAAAAGTGCATCTTTTACTGGTGAAGTGTTCCATAAGTGTCTTTCAGAAAAATATTTGATTCTCTCCTTTCTTATGAGCAATGTAATAGGGATAATTTTGCTAATAGATAGATTACTCACCGACCGAGCACCAATGTCTCTGTGTCTTGCAAGGTAGCTTTTATTATGAGTTTGAAGGTGTCAGGCTCCTTTTCTAATCCTCAATTCCATTTGTACGCTGAAAAGCTGTGTATTGATTTATTCTTTTTTATTTATTCATTTTTTGTTAAGATAACATGCATTGCTAACTTCTTCTTCTCCTTCCTCTCTGCTTACCTTTTTTGAGGAATATTGGACCAACGTCTGAAAACTGTCTTTAAAAACAAGGAAAGGCTTGATGCAGTGAGTCCAAGATATTGCCAAAATTTACTGGTAAGTCTGTCGCGAGTGGTTTCGATATTCATAGCCTTTTTTATAAGAAATACTCTATCATGTAATAAACAAAGCCTGTTCATAATTAATAATAGAGCTTCCTTTGTTTATATACTAAAAGATATACTAAATAAAAAGGACTTTGTGTTGTTTATCTAATTGCTCTTTGGTCATCCAACTTCGCCACTACTAGCTCTAAGGAGCTATTTTTTGTATCTTTAACTTAGAATACTTCTTGTTTTCTTTGTTCTCTTGACCGCAAGGTAAAAGCCTGAAAACAACTATCAAGTGTGCACAAAGTCCTCCTTGTGTCCAGAGAAGAGAATCATCGTTTTCCTGGTGGCACTGTTGACTATTAGGCTCATACAACAAATTACAAGACTATAGAATAGCTATCATAGCTTATTTATTGTGTGCTTTCATATAAAGAAGACAGCTTACCACAATATAGAAACACTGTAATGGAATATGCCCTGTTTACTTTGCGTGCATCATGACCGTCTTTTCAAACGTAAACTCGTCCAAGCTGGTCTTACCAAGATCTTTACCAAAACCTGACAGCTTGGTTCCTCCAAATGGTAAAGAAGGAAGTGTCAAATTATATGTATTAATCCACACCATACCTGCCTTCACCTTACGAGCGGCTCGATTCGTCTTTTCATAATCACGGGAAAAGATACCAAAGGCTAAACCATAAGGTGACCGATTCACTCTCTCTATCGCTTCTTCCAATGTCTCGAATGGTTTGAGTATACTGAGTACAGGTCCAAAAATCTCTTCTTGAGCCAGCGTTGCATCGTCTTGTACATTCACATACACCGTGGGCGGTACAAAATACCCCTTTTCTTCACTGAGTTCACCTACCATAATAGGATCTTGTGGATATTCTTGAATGTACTTTCTTACACGTGTATACTGTCGTTTATCAATTAAGGGGCCATAGAGAAACTCGTCGTGTTGATAATCATCACACACAGCAGGTTTCCATTTCTGAACATGACCTCTTAATTCCTCCACGAATCGGTCGTGAACAGACGCATGCACAAGCACTCGAGAGATCGCGCAGCAGTTTTGCCCTGCGTTCGAGAACGCTCCAGTAGCAACTTCGGAGGCTGCCCTGGATAAATCTGCATCCTCACAGATAATCACCGCATTCTTTCCACCGCATTCAAGTGTGATAGGTGTCATCGTCTCTGAGACCTGTCTCATGATCTCCTGCCCCACCTGCGTTGAACCCGTAAAACTCGTCTTGTCTGTTCGTCTTGTTATCGCTTGACTCACATGGACATCTCCACCCGGGAGAACATTGAGCACACCAGGAGGGAGCACATCGGTTGCCAAATCGGCAAGTGCCAGTGTGCTCAAAGGGGTTTGTGGTGCGGGACGTACAAGAGCACGGTTACCTGCCGCCAAGGCCGGAGCCAGCTTCCAGCCAGTTAATAAAAGGGGATAGTTAAAGGAGGTGATCAAGCCAACAGTTCCAAGAGGTTCTCGAACTGTAAAAGTTAAAATATCGTGTGTGGTTCCAAATAACTTGTCGCTGTACCCTGCAAAATGCCGAAAACAGTCAATCACATCGCTCATTTCACCAAGTGCATCCTGAATCGGTTTCCCTGTTTGTCTTGATTCGACTACAGCCAAGTCGTGATCATGTTTTGCTATCCTGTCTGCTAGTTTCAACAAACAGTCTCGTCGATACCGGTGATTACTTGTCCACTCTTCTGGCACTGATCGACTGCTCACTAATGCTGCTTCTAATTGATCTATACTCGTCTCATAATAACTACAAAGTCGTTCTTCATTCACAGGGTTGATCAAAACTCGTTCACGTCCTAACTGACTTTTTATGAAACGCCCATGGATGTAGGGGGTAACGGACGTTTTAAATAGAAACTCAAAACGTTTTGACATGGTTAAAAATAACCTTTTTGCATGGACTAGAAAACAAAAGAGTACCAAATATGCAATCTATTGAGAAAATGCGACAAACTAGAACAAATATGAGTGCGACCAAAAAAAAAAAATTAATAAAAAATGCCCTCCTATTGTCAACTCCCTTTTTTGAGGTTACATCTCTCCTGCACTTGGTTGATATAAAAAGAGGGTAGCTTATTCTATGTTGTCTTCAAAAAGTTCAATTCAAATACTTTTAGTTACTCGTTCCGTTCCTTAAAAATATGAAATTTACTACAATCGTTGCTATTCTCTCCGTTGCTACTGCTGTTGCTGCTGCTCCCGTCGAAGCTCGTTCTTGCAGTGTAGGTCATCCCAGTGGTGGAAATAAAGGACATGGTGGTGGTCATCACGGAGGCAAGCCCGGAAAGCCCGGGAAGGGTGGTGATAAGGGTCATGGCAAGCCTGGAAAGCCCAGTAAGGGCGGTGATAAGGGTCATGGAAAGCCTGGTAAACCCGGAAAAGGTGGTGACAATGACCATGGAAAGCCAGGAAAGGGTGGTGATAAAGATCATGGCAAGCCTGGTAAAGGTGGTGATAAAGATCATGGCAAGCCCGGTAAAGGTGGTGACAAGGATCATGACAAGCCTGGTAAACCCGGTAAGGGCCATGGTGGAAGCAATGGCGGCGATAAGGGAGATCATGACAACAACAATAACAACAACCATGACAACAACAACAATAATAACCATAACAGCAACAACAATAACCACCACACCGAATGCAACTCCTGCAAGGTAGCCGGTGGTGACAAGATCATCAACCAATCTGCTGGAGGCTCCGGAAATACAGCCAGTACCAACTCTGGTGGTGCTCTTATTCAAGGTGGCGTCCTTAACAACCTCCTTGGCGGCGGTATCTTGAGCTCTACTACCAACAATAACCACATTGAGCAAAATGCAAGCATTCATTAAGTTTTCAAGCTTTTGTATAGTGTCTTTTATTTTTACACAATAAACCACCCATTCTTTTGGATGTTACTTTTATTTTATGCTAAAGAAATACAAAGGAGGTTAAAACTAGGATTTTTTTTTTTCTCTTTCTTTTTTATATAAATCATATGAAATTCGGCTTAAATCTTCAAAAGAAAAAACCTGTTCATCCTACGCCCAGACTCGATCGTTCTAGTGCATTTGGAGGTGACAGCGATGACGAGCAAGATCCTCAAGATCAAAAGCAGGCAGGTCAGAAAGCCAAAGCACAAGTCAACAGACAACTGGCATCGTACAAGACAACAACTAAAAAACTACAAGAACTTCATACTAAAGCACTTGAAGAAGATCCCAATATTTTTGATTATGATGCTGTCTATGATGATCTAAAAGAAGTAGAGAGGAAACAAAAGGAAGCTACCAAGGGTCCACAGGAAAAGAAGGCAAGATATATTAAAGGGTTATTAGAGATGGCAGAAATCAGAAAGAGAGATCGTCTCCTCGCCGAAGAGAAGAAGTTTGCAAGAGAGAGAGAAGCAGAAGGCGAAGAATTTGCAGATAAAGAAGTGTTTATTACAGAATCGTAACTATTTATTATTATTATCTATAAAACACTCAACCTGCTCTGTTAGGTTCAAGAAACAAAAGGAGGAATTAGAAAGAATTGAACGAGAAGAAAGAGAGAGAGAAGAAAAGGCAGCAAAAAGTAAAACGATGGATTCATTTTATAAGCAAGTGTTGGAACGAAAAGAGGCAGAGCACCAGGCGATGCTAAAGGCCCTTGCTGAAGAAAAAGATAGGAAAAAGGCAGCGATTGTCAATGCCGAGAAGGAAAAGGGAGATGATATGGCACTGGCCGAGTTGGCTGCAAAGGAAGGCAAACAGGTGATACTGAACGATAATAACGAAATTGTCGATAAACGCCAGCTCCTTGGTGCTGGTTTAAACGTGAAACCTAAATTTGGTACATTTGCATCACTAGCAGCGTCAGATGAGCGCATTAAGGAACGTATATCCGAATATGAAGAATACAAACGAAAGAAGTTGGAAGAATATGAAGCCAAGAGGAGAGGAGGTAATAGCGAAGAACGTGAACGTCTGAGCAAAGAAGTAGAAAGACAAATGATGGAAGTCAAGAGAAGAGAACAAGAAGAAGAGGAGAGAAAGCAAAAGGAGCTTGAACAAAAACTAGCAGTCAAGCGTACGACAGAAGACGTAGTGATGAGTGCAAGGGAGCGTTATTTAGCAAGAAAAAAACAAAAGATGGAAGAGGAAAAAAAGAATCAATAAAGATTTTTGTATTTATGATTGAGCATCTTTGAGAATAGCATGATAATTAGCCGTATTGCGCTTCAAGATCGTCATGACCGGGCCCAGTAATCGTATGAATGCTGACTTGCTTAAGGTAACGCACTTGAGTGGTCCTTCTGCCACAACGGTAGCCGCTCTAGGCTTATCGTTCAGCAGTGCAAGTTCTAATAATAAACAATTAATTCTTTTTATATTTTCATGTCCACTGGCATACCTCCAAAGTAATCACCCTTTTTCATCTCATTGACCTTTTGCTGCGTACCATCAGGAGCTGTCTTATAGACCACAGCTTTACCATCCTCGATCAAATAAAAGTTGTTACCAGGTTCTCCTTCCTTGACCACGACATCACCATGTTTATATCGAACAGAGACCAAAGAATCTGCAATCTTGTGAATCTCGGAGATTTCTAGTGACTTGAACAATGGCACCCCCTTCAAAAAGGATTCATGCATCGTCCGTTTCGCCGCGTTACTCTTCATGATGATCGACCTAAACGAGATACGGTCCAGAGCCCACAACACGGCATTGGTCGTGGCGACGATCGTAGCTGCTCTTGGTGCATTGTACATAAGCGCCAGTTCGCCAAAGCTCCCTCCCCGCTCATAACTTGTCACCTTTTGTCCATCCACAAAACAGTCAAGATGACCAGACGATACGATATAAAAATAATCACCTTCTCCTCCTTGTTCAATGACGTGAGTACCGGCAGGAAATGGCTTTTGTTCCATAATCTGAATAATCTCTTCACGCTGCTCCTCCTCGATCGTCTTGAACAAAAAGTGGGATGAGAGCGATTGATAGATCATGTCCTGTTCGGCTGTGGATTTTGGTATGTTCTTTTCGAGTCTTGCTAATTTATCTGGCTGTATCGATTCAGCGCTCACAGAGACGCGTCTATTTTGCATGTGTGTTTTAAATTGAGGTAAATCACGAAAACTGTTTTTTCCTTCTTCTTCTTCTTCATCTTCGTCTTCTTCGTTGTGAGGTGTCTGTACATCGTTTGTTGAAACCAAAGATCCTTGTAATACCGTAGTGTCGCTTGGATGAACACTCAAGTGACGTTCTTTGAATTGGCGGCATAAATCATTTTTTTTTTACAACAAAAATCATTTTTTAAATACCTTTCTCTTGTCTGGTCTTTGTTCTTTCGTTTAATAGACGAGATAGAAAGAAATCAAAACAGTACTGAAGCACGTCATCAGGCTGTGCCATGTTTATTTGGTTAGTTAATTCATGGATCAAATCATCATATTCTTTTGAGAAATTGCTTGATTTATTAAACAGCGAAGATTGAGACATGAAGAAAAAAAAAAAAAAGAAAAAAAAAAGACAGAAAAATTCTTTTATCCAATCTTATTTCAAACCATTCTATTCAACATAACAATAAGTTAGAAACCTGGCAAGTAAGAAATGAAGCATGAAAAATACTTACTTTGGTAATTCAAACTTTCGTCCCTTTAAAACTCTATACATAGTGTATTTAGCTATGTGATTGTGTATTATATAAAAGAGTCTTACTTTGTATAATAAATGTAAAAAAAGTCGCTGTAGATAGCTGTCTGCACTAATCCTGCAATACATGAAACCCATTCGATGTAATCCTCGACATAGTATCTATAAATCCAATTGAGGATATATAAGGCTCTGTAAGCGCCTAAAGCAAAGATGTAATGTGTTGTGATCGTCTCTGCTTCTCCTGTCTTTTGAAGCATAAACAGTTGTGGTAAGATAGCAGCTGATTCTAACCAGATGGAAAAGGTCCACAGTACCTAATGATTGTTATATCCTATCGTGATCGTCTTTATGTATCTAATCTTACTTCGATGATGGTGTATTTTGCGGTAGTAGCTAAACCTAATAGAGAAGCAATACCCAAAAGATATTCGATTCTAAATGTATCTAAACCAGCATCATAAGTTGCCTTGAATTTGATATGCATAAGGTACAAGATATAGACTGAAGACGCGATAAAGAATATCTTCATTGACGTATTATACAGTGAGATAAACCTGGTGAATAAGTCAAGATAACGAGTAACAAAGACGATGGCATATAGTAATTGTGTCTTGAAGGATATACCTTTGTTCTACATTAGTCTTCATTCTTTTGTTTTGTTCTTCATCTTACCAACACACGATCTCGTCTTTTTTATCTTTAGCAATAAAATGAAAATAGATGCTAAATGCATCAAATCAGCAACAAGTCGAAAAATATTCATGATTCTCTCTCTCTTTTCTTCTACACACACAAACGAAGAGAGAAAAAAAGGGCGTGTAAACTAGAAACGTCACTATTGAACCTTTTCCCTTTGGACAGTTCAATCAAGCCCCCAAAAACAAACTCAGTTTAATTTTTACCCAATAACGTCTAAACAACGATTCATTCAAATTCGCGCCCAATGAAATGAGGAATAGCGCTAAAAGGGCTTATTTTTTTAAAAGAAATTAACGGTCCGTTCCTTGACATCATCTATACGTAAAATGGTAAAGATTCAAGGAAAATTAGTTTCCGAACCAGACAGAAGAAGAGAAAGAAAAGAAATAAAGTATATATTGACTCAGATAGGTCCGAGGGAAATATAAATAAATATATTTAGAAAAATGAGAGAGAGGGTGTGTGTGTGTTACCAATGTCTATTATTATTATTATTACTAGTGCTAGTAAGGTAAGTTGAAGTACGAGTATCTTTGTTATTGTATCTTGTGACGCTTCTGAAACTAGCTTGGCATCGTAACATATTACGGGATCTTCCGCGGAGAGAAGGACAGAGTGAAGAATACCAAGAGATTCTTGTTTTACTATAAAGAATTAAGCTGGTATGAGTAGTAGTAATATTTGGTACATTGAGTGATCTTGACTATCTTTGTTGCTGTATATCATGGGATTTGTCATTTACTTTTCTTATTAAAAGTCCCTCTTTGATGTTAGCTATTACGTATAATAAAAAGTCATCAATGTAGTCCTCTATTGTTATGATCACTCATGGCTGCATATTAAAAAGAGATACACATGTTACAAAAGTAATATTTAAAATGATAAACTTGATTGTGCATGTATAAACACGCTTTAGGCACATGCTTGTCATCAAACAGGACCAAAACTGATTATGAATACTTACAACTATTAAGATGTATACAAAAAAAAGAGAGATCGACATGGTTGAGACACAATGATATTAATTGACTGCGCGCTGATTTTCATCATCCGTGATCGTTGGAAGATAACTACCTGTTCCTGACTATCTCCTTAGCATCATGTGTAACAAGCGCCTCTTAGCCGGCTGCTTATGTCACACGAAGGCGCGAGGCATCAACTACGGACATTATAGAAATAAAAGAAGGACAAGAAAAGAAAATAAAGAAGCTAGAGGAAATGAGTAAAGAAGACATGAAATAGCTGATGATAGTAAGCATAGGTAGATCAACGAATCCTGGCCAGGTAACAGAACCTGTTGCAAAAAAGGGTAAAAGGATGCAACCTATTTATAGTAATGAAATTTACAAAAATAAAAGCGCTTCATGCTTCCCTTAACCGGATTGTCACATCTGACATATGGTAGTACCAAACAAATATGGCTCAGCTGTAACTCATAGCAACACCCTTTCTCTTTGCCGCTTACTTACTCCCTTTCTCTTGATGATATTTACTTTTTCTTTATGAAATGAAACCATTAAATTGCCGAAGTAAAACTGTGTCAATAACTACAGGCGCCAAGAATAATGTACCGAATGTCCAATAAATTTTTTTACTGATTTGTCATTATGTCACAAAATATGTGGCGCTGTACAAAGCAATTGTTAATGTTTGACTAACGAACGGGGCATGGAACTAAAAATTGATCACGTATAAATAAACCTCTGTTTTTTTTCCATTTCCTTCTCATTTTATTCTCCTCTTTTCTTATTATTTATTTAGAACCATGGAACGTTCAATCACACCACCCTTGGAAGATAGCACCGTTGCTCATGAATTCACAAACTATGCAAAGAAATCAAAAAGACATGGACATGACAAGGATGTAGTAGATGATAACGATGTACGACAGGTAGCAGGTTGTGTGCCTATCGACATGAAGAACAGACGTGTATTGCTTATCTCGAGCAGAAAGAAGAAAAATGCTTGGGTTCTGCCTAAAGGTGGCTGGGAGCAAGACGAGACACAACAACATGCTGCTCAGCGGGAGACTTGGGAAGAGGCTGGTATCAAAGGCATTATTGCCAAGCAATTGGGCATCTTTGAGGAACGTACAAAGAAGAATAAGCTTAAAGCACACCATTGGATATTTGAAATGCATATTGACGAAGTTGTCAAGAAATTTCCCGAAAGAAAGAAGAGAGAGCGTAGATGGGTATGTGTATGATCCATGCTAAAACTAAACAAGGCTAACCCATACTTTAGTTTACATTAGAAGAAGCATTAATTGCTACCAGAAAACACCCATACATTCAAGAAGCTTTGCTCAAGTCCAGTTTAAATTCATCTTCTACATTGCCGGCAACAGTTCAGAACTCACCTCCTTCGCCTCGTGAATCGATTAATGATTCGTCTGCGGACGAGAAACAAACTAAAGAGATTATTCCCGAAATCGAGCACAAACCCTTGGTTAGTTCAGAATGGTCTGTGTTTGTCTAAGCATTCTTTTATCATCTTCATCCCATTTTGTACATAATTTTTTTTTTACTTGGACTGTTAATAAATCATAAAACAGCAAACTCCCTTCTTACTACCATCACTACTACTATTCGTTATTGTCTTCAATAAAGAAGGGGTAACATGCATATAGGACATGATCTAATCTTGAAAACTTATTGGCCATTGTAAACAACTTGTAAGCATGAATTCACCCTGCATGCATATACTTTGCGCTTGCTCCACTCCCTCTACTTTTTCTTCTTTTTACTCCACAAAAAATGGAACTCAAAGAAATTACTTGTGTTACTATTAGATCCAGGATTCTCTTTATTACGTATTATTATAAACATTACCTATGAATTGTATAATAGAAAAGTGGGGCCATAGTACCGTTTTATGTGTATGTTAACGTCATTTTGATTAAGCTTGCAGAAAATACAGAACAAGGGGAGGGAGTCTTGCAATTACTAAATATAGAATCATGCTTGTTTATATTTGGTTTTTTAATCTAAATATAAACTAGACCTATATCTTGCGTAAAGTTAGACGCGCGAGATACACTTTTTGGTATTACCACGCGCGCAGATGTATACATTATAAACAGATCCATTTATCACAAAAGAAATTTAAGAGCAGATCTATTTTAACATACTCTGTTTGTCAGTGTTTGTTTATCATAAAAAGTGTGAAATGACAAACAATGGGCCATTTTCATACGTCAAAAAATATGATAACGGGATGATTTCTCTATCATTCCTTCATGGCTTATAGTAAGTACTTTTGAAGAGTATTTACTGAGATTATCGCAAAATACTTTTTAATAAATAAACTGGTATGCTCTTGTGATAAATAAGTGGCCTGAATCGAGTGGAAGCAAGCAGGTAATGTAACTCTTTTGTTTTAAATCCTTTCTGTTTGAACGGCGCTTCTTTAGTTTGTATCTCAGTAGTACATTCATTGCTGGGAAAGTGGAAGGAGAAGACGAGAATAAGCACATTAGATTGATTTGCGCTTTATTTTTTGTTTTTAATAAAAAAAAAAAAATCGAAATCTCCAAGTGCAATGGTTTACTATATTATTTAAAAATAAAGTGTTCCGTAGATGAGCCCCTTACTGCTTTATTTTTTTCCAATTAACAGAACGATTAATTTTAGATTGGTTATGTGTGTGCATAGCCATGGTTGGTGCCAACTGTAAACTATTTTCAAACATGTTCCGAGGAATCGGTCTTTTATCCAGTTGCAACTGTATCCATAGTATGTCTTTTTTTGTTTCTGTAAATATGATTATGTAGTATTGAACAGTTCATTCATTTCTGTATGCTTTTATATTTCTCCTTGTTGCTGATCAGAAAGGAATATATATATGATATTTCTCATATTTTGCAGAAAAAGTCTCAAGGATATGATCTATATGCCACTCGGGCCCTGCACTTTTTTCGTCAATAGAATTGACAGACTGTTTGTTCGTTTTCGGGTAGATTTAGAAGAAAAATCGCCCCTGGCATATGTATAAATATCAATCAAACACTTGGCTTTATACGCTCAATGCACAGCCTTTTCAGAAAGTAAAATCGTATTTTTGCAATTTTATAATACAATTTATACGAAAAAGCTACATGTCAGCGCGACGCCTCTTTCTGGAAAGGGTGTACACCCTTTCCAGAAAATTAATACGCCCGATGGTGAGAACAAAATTCAAGTTGTACGAAAAATAAATTCGCCCTGATGGAAAATGAATTCATTCTGATGACAAGAACAAAATTCATGTATGAAATGTGAGTTCGTCTTCACTGACAAACCGGATTCCCTGTTGTCAAGGATATTTTGTAGTACAAGCCTTGGAATCTTTGGATATAAAAGAGTACTCTAATTGTCCATCTTTTTTTTTTTTTTTTTTTCTGTTCTTTTTCGCAATACACACAAAATCACATCATAATGAACATTTAATTCTTGTATGGAAATGAGAAAGATTCTGCCGTTGACGAGTATAGCAGGCCTGAACCAATGGATTATATTGCTGATGAGGAGCAATTTTGTCTTGAAATATTGAGCTCTCATACACAATATTTAGCGCAACAGCCGCTGGAGGGTGACAAAACGACGAAGAAGGTGTATAACCTGAAACTGATGCTGTTATGAGAGAAACATCAATCAAACACAATTATACACGCTATTCAGGCCAGGACAAAGTGAGGTTCTTCAAGCTGTTGCTTGAGAGGTGCTTGAGCGCAGCTGCGGCTGCAAAATAGCTTGGGATTTACATTCGTACAGGAGCAGAATGGGCTGAACAGTACGAGAGGAATCTTAATAGTATCTTTGAGAAACGGAGAAAGACCGGTCATCCACGAATTCTCAGCGAGGAGCACAAAAAAGTTATTCTTGAGTGCATTGGTGAGAATCCTTCAGTCGCCTTGGACGATGTGATAAAGCGTCTAAGGCAACCATTCACAGAATTAAAAGTCTCCAAAAGCACTTTGTTTGATTTTATAAAAAAAAAAAAATGCAACTTGTCTCTCAAAAAGGCTTGATTTCAACCATAAACCGGAACAGTGAGGAGAAAATTCAAGAACGCCTGGACTGGATTCATCCATGGAAAAAAACAAACATGGATTTTACGACTAACTGCGTGTTTCTTGATAAACCTGCGTTTCATATCAATTTGAGACATAGTATGGCATGGTCAAAGAAAGGTTCCCCTGCAGTGGCTACCGTTCCCAAAGCACGAGCAAAAACAACAACCATTTTAGGCGCGATTTCTGCTCAAGGTCTGATCAAATGCAGCCTCAGGCTTCCCCACCTTCCACCCAATAAAAAGAGAAAATGAGAAGAAGCCGTTGAGAATATGAGCAAAGGGACAGTTATGGCACACTATATTAGTTTTCTAAAAGCCATGATGGATGAAATGGACCAGTATCCGCATGTAAAAGGCCATTACCTCATGATGGATAATGCTCCAATCGATACATCGGTTGATATAGCAAAATATGTAGAATTCCGTGGTTATCGCTGTATCTATTTGCCACCCTATTCTCCTGAGCTCAATCTAACTGAATAGTTTTGGTCGATGGTTAAGAGTAAAGTCAAACGAAACAAGTAACTGGAAACGGAGACTCTGATGACAAGAATCAGTGAAGCTTCTAATAGCTTGAAGCTGAACGGCTTTAAGGACTTTATCCGGCATTCTCACAATTGTTTGGAAGAATGTCGTAAAAGAGAGCAAATTTGACAAGCGGAAGTGTTTTTTTTTTTTTTTTTGGCAAACACTTCGTGCATTCAAAAATGCACTCAAAAATAGGTTAATGCTATGGGCGCTTCTTCTAGGCACTACATGTGATATCATTTTACAACTTCACACTACCAAAGTCTCTGCCTAACCTAAGGCTGTCCAGTCCTCTCTCTCTGATATAAAATACGTTGTCACCATAATTACACGTGATTGATCTTGATTCTTTGTTGATAGACTGACAATATAAAACTAGAATAAAAAAATAATAACATTTCTTTTTTATCTCTTTCTTCTTCTTGAAAAGAAAAACAAATCAAGATAAATGCTTTATAAACCCATGTTTAGCTTGATACTACACATTGAAAAGCTTTGTTGGATGACATTATAAGTAGTGGTAGAGGAAGCACCCGTAGCACTAGTCTATTTTTGAGTGCATTTTTGAGTGCATCAAATGTTTACCTTCCTTTATCACTCAGCATCTAAAAGATTTGTCAAAATGATCAACTAGCCTCATACACTTGCAAGCGTCGGATTTGTTTTTCGAATGGAAGGATCGGTTTATCAAAGTATTGACAAAGAGCGAAAAGCAAGACTTGACGCTCAGATAAAGGATTTGAGTTTCCAATCGTCCATACTCATTTTTTTTTCCGGCGTCAACAGCTGCAAGTTCCACAAGGACCGATGGATGACCATCTTGGCAACCACTAATGAATTTGTAAACGTGCATAGAAAAATTTGATTGAGTGCGTTTCCTGACTCCTTTATTTGCCATACGCACAGATCGGCGTCGAATTGGAGCACATTCTAAGTGGCACAAAACTACTGCGAAAAGCGAGCTCGCGTGTGTATGACGATGCTTCTGTAGTGATCGATAGTAATTCCTCGGTAGCATCAAACAATTCTGCAGGCACTGCAAGTGATTCCCTAGCAAAGTCAAGCGACGCTTTTGCCTCCAACAACGACTCAACAAAAAAAATCAGCCTATCTTTCGACATTACAGACCTGGAGCAAAAAATGCATGAAACTGCATACAATTACGTAAGAATCAAAAGAGAGAGAATATGTGCTTTGTTCACTTGTTTCTAATAACCATGACTGTCGATAAATTTAATTTTCTGGCAATGTCATTACCAAAGCGAAGCAGAAGGGGCTGCAGGTCATCTTGAGCATGAATTGCAGCAACTCTGACTGCAGTTTAGCGTTGATCAAACTTGGTACGAGGCATATGTTGAAACAAGAAAAAACACTCGTAAGCCAAGCTATCATTAAGTACTAGAAACTCTTTTCGCTATTCTGTCTGCTCATATCTTGCTTATCTGCTTTGCCTATTGGTAATAGACTCTCCACATCAAGGATATTTAACCTGATCGACACACGATTTGAAGTGGCCTATAAGAGCAACGTTTCGCCAATTGTCTGGCAAACTATTAATGAGGTAATCAAGATGACACACGCAGCTAAAGAAAACTATCTCTCGGAAGGCGCCATCAAGCTCCTCGGTCAAATTGTGGAACAACAATCATCGAAAGCAATGCTGAAGTTTATCGACAAGGGAAAATACCTTTTATCCAGTTGTGACAAGGATAGCACCGAAGCATATGCCGTGTTGTTGATCGTGGAGCAAGTGCAAGTAAATCAAAATGGTGTTCAAGTTTGCACGATCGATAATTGTCATGTAACTCATTTCATTCAACGTCAAAGTGTTAGAAATTTTAATCGTCATCAAGAGAGCGATTTGGAAGCCACTTGTTGTCGCTGATTCGCTTCACTGCTAGAAATTTTACTGGATGGCACAGGCACAACCATGATTGAGTAAGTCCTCTTGGTAAATATTTACTTTGCGTCGATTATTTAACTTACGACATCGTTTTCTTCCAGCGGTGAAAATGCTTCCAAGGCCACTAAGGTGAACAATGCAATCAACAGTGCCTACTTTGGTATCGACGTCGGCAAATACGGACGAAAAATCGATCTTGTCTTGTGTATCATTGAAACAACCGAAATATGTACCAGCGAATTCAAGGAGGAGACCAACGATGACTGTACGATCCTACAACAACAGTAAAAAAAACTTGAGAACAAACGCAAGCACGCAGCGTCATGAGTTGTACTCCTTGAATCACGGTAGAGATTCAACATAACGTAAATAAAAAGTTCATAAGAAGAGCAGTTGGATATTGCTTACAGGCAAATTTAAAATTCGATGTAGAGCCAATTCTACTTGTTGTATGTGTTGGAACACTTAATGAAGAAATTAAAGATGATACCATATATACTCGGCTCCCGGGTATCTACTCTTACTTTTGTAAACCATGGGCAGCAGAGTGCTTCATTCTGTGTCAAGATAGTTTAACTCAAAACTTGGCAACCCCATTAAACCCACTGGTCGCGCTTGGACTACTTCTAAGCAGTCGCTGTACATCAATTCTTAGTAATCCATATGGTGGTGACCCTACGATGCAATACTTATATATCCTAGCTTTACATCATCATCAAATTGATTCTCAAGGTATTGTACGTTTACCAACGAGATTAATTGAAAGCCAGATCACAGAGTATGATCGATTACTCACGCTGGCAAATTCACTTAATCAGCCGCAACTGGTAGAAGCTATAAATGAGGCAAATGCAGGACAAAAAGAAAGTAGGATGATTATTTTACTGCTGAAGACTCATCTGATAAAGTTATTACCGATAATGATGAGAATGATGATTTGCTTGATGCTGAAACACCTGAAATCACTCAAGATTCTGGTAGTAGGGAAAGGTATGAAGCAGCAATGAATTTCGTCGCCAAATTCAAAGAAGAAAGGGCAAAAAAAAAGGCAAAAGAATGGATTGGACTGCCTGTCTTGAAGAAGGGAAAAAGTTATTGAATCGCAAAAAAATACCGATTCCATTCGAATGCAGTTCTACAAGTGCACCAAAGAAAAAGATAAAAAATAAGGAATACTTTTTATTTCAGTATTATTTTTCATTCCCATGAAAATCATCTATGGCTTTTATCATAGGATTGTCAAAAATTCACAATGTTTGTCTCTCTATTTTATCACCAAAAAAGTAGAACATAAATACCATTGAAGGATCAAGATTGCTTGTTTCGTTTTCGCTAAGGCTAATTGTATCTTTAGAAAATATTAAGCACCTTTCCGTCCATATGGTACTATTCAAAATCTGCCAATGAGGCTTTTCCAAACTGGGTGACAACATTAGCCTCACTGGTGAAGAAACTTTGTCAGTTAACACAACAAGCAAAGGCTGAATATCAAAGCGATCAATCACCTCCAAGCATTTTTTAACTGAGCGCTTCATTGATTTTTTTGTAACTTTCGATTGAATTTCTAGAAGAACCGCGTGTGATTGAAACTTATAAAGTATAAAATAAGAACAATCCACCAGAAGTTCTCCCCGAATAAAACTAAAATTAGCATAATCCTCTTTCATAATGGTTTCAGCAAACAACCTGAAGAAGCTAGTGCTTTGCAAAAAATTTGCAACTAATAAGCTGATGTGAGCAAGTAGTCAATTGACTTACAAGCTTTCTTACTTTCAACCATGTTGCATTGAAACTAGCTGAAAAGTACTGACTAGGCTTTGCAACCCACGCTTTTTTTTACCGTAATCGTAACCTAACCAAAAAAAGTTTAATTTTTATAGCACTCATTCCATCACCCAATCAGGAAATAAAATGTACAATAAAAATGTCGTCTTCAGTTTGAAGTAAACATTTGTTTGTTTAATAGATTCGATAGCCTTCACTTTCAAAAAATTGAATGGTAACAGGAGGCTTTGATTGGCAGACAAAAAAATTGGAATGCACTATGGAAATTTTGGTTGGCCAGAAAAAAGTTTGATTTCTATTTTTGAAAATCTTGAATTTCAAATGCAAATCTGTGTTTTAAGTCTGGACTGAGCTTGAAGGTTTCGATTTGCTGCGGAAATCAGGAAATTTTTCCGTGGATAAATACATGAATGAATACGGTAGATAACTGATTTGATGATCTTGTATTGTTGGTCAATGGGGACTATATCCATAATAGAGTGGCCAAAAATCTTCGATTAGTTTATCTCACTCCACCCAACCTCCATCAGATTGTGTCCTTTCCCCCTCCACAATCAGCACCCCATCCCGCACACAATATACGTCCCCACTTTGTTGAACTGGCCGATAAGCTCTTTCCATTAAAACTAACAATAACTGAACAGGATAAGACCCTTATAGAGGCATTTTAAAGAGGGCGCAGAATTAACGCCTGTTTCTAGATGAATATCTATAGTAGCATTGCTTGAATAAAATAACGGAGATAATAGCAATTAACATCAACTTATTGTGGATTCCCGGTTGTCACATTTTCTGCAGGAATAATTCATTAATACCTCTTCAGCCAGTTGCAACTCTATCCATTATCTATGATGCAATCCAACAAAACTTTCCAATACGTAGCGTCACACTAAGTACAACTTTATAAAGTCCTCATGGCTTATTTCTTTTAAGAAGAACAAGATAAAAAAGAAATGTAATTATTGCTTTATTTTAATTTTATGCTGTCAATTCTATCAACAAAGAACCAATATCAGTCGTAATTACCAGTTTCGTTTTTCTGTGATCGTCAATATCCACCAACCTGACTGTATATTATTCAGCAACGCGATTTTAAGATATCACATGAATAGTAGTGATGAAAAAAGTGGGGAGGGGGGATTGATTGCGTAAAGGTGGAATAAACAGTAGTACAATTTGAACATCAAAACTTTAAATTAGCACATTGATTTGTCAGAAATTAAAGTATTCGGGATCATTGATTGCCGTGCTTGTTAAATTGACAGTAAATCACACAATCATTCAATTCATATCTGATTCATAAGCGTACAGCGGCACTCTTTCCTATATATCTTAGATATCTTACATATCCTATATAGTTGCATTACTTGATTGATCTTATTGCCATGGAAAAACCTTTTTTACTTTTTTGGAAAGGTAAGTCACTCGGACCTAGTGCCGTTGCAGTAGAATTACGTTCCTAATCAGCTAAATTTGTTCAGTGCACGCGTAACAGAGCAACTAAAAAAGGAAGGTGAGACCAAATCAGATGGGTGGAGTTCAAAAAGAATACAAAGATAAACATCAAAGGTATTACTAATATACTCAGCATTGAGCGGCACTATTTGAAAAAATATATAAAAAGGAGTAATTTCATTTCATAATCTTCCACATCTTTATTATAAATTCATTATAAATCTATTTATTCTATTATGGCTGAATATAATAGCACACATAAGAGATCGGAAGACGACAATGCATCAGCCGGATCACAGGCGACAGTTGCCACAGCTACTGAAAAGATATACGTAGAAAATGGTGGATTTGGTGAAAGAAGTATAAATGAAGTAAACATTCAAGGTAATAAATGATTTTTATTATAGCTCTATTGTCTGTATTCACATATTTCTATTACAGGAGCTATTGATGAATATAATGATCTGAAGCAAGAACTTTCTCGGATCAGTCGTCAAACATCAGTCAATCCTCAAAAACTCGAAGGAGGCCAAGCTCAAGAAGATGAATTCAGTCTAAATGAGTTTTTGCACGGCCTTTCAGAGAGCCAAAAGCACGCTGGACACCATCCAAAGCATTTGGGTGTAATCTGGAAGAACCTCACGGTTGAGGTAAGCAGATCAAACGAGTCACAGAAGGATTTTCCGTGGCTAATCTTTCTTCTATAGGGTCTAGGTGCAGGTGCTCACACAATTCCTACTAATATTAGTGGTATTCTACGAGGCCTCAAATTTTGGAAGCTTTTTGGCATTGGTGCGCACAACACTACAAAGGTCATCATCAAAGATCTTACAGGCTTTGTCAAGGAAGGTGAAATGCTTCTTGTCCTTGGTCGTCCCGGTGCTGGCTGTACCACTCTTCTGAGGGTCATCTCCAACATGCGTGGTTCATTCACTTCCGTTAAGGGAACCGTTAGTTATGGTGGTGTCGACCCTAAGACATTTGAAAAATACTACCGTGGCCAATCATGTTATAATGCTGAAGAAGATCAACATTTCCCTGTGCTGACTTTGAAACAGACTTTACAGTTTGCACTAAGAAACAAAACGCCCGGTGCTCGATTACCTGACGAAACAAAGAAAGAATTTGTCAACAAGATTCTCTACATGCTTGGTAACATGTTGGGTCTTTCAAAGCAAATGCATACCTTGGTCGGTAATGCCTTCGTCCGAGGTCTTTCCGGCGGTGAACGTAAGCGTTTATCAATTGCGGAACAGATGGTCACACAAAGTACAATCAACTGTTGGGATTGCTCTACACGCGGATTAGATGCTGCCTCTGCTTTGGACTTTGTTCGCTCACTTCGTATCATGACTGATGTGCTCAAGAAGACGACAGTTGCTACCTTATATCAAGCCTCTAATAGCATGCTCAACTTGTTTGACAAGGTCCTCATCTTGGATGACGGTTACTGTCTTTACTTTGGCCCTGTCTCTGAAGCTAAGCAGTACTTTGAAGACTTGGGCTTTTACTGCCCTCCTCGTAAATCCACCCCAGACTTCCTTACTGGTATTAGCAACCCATTAGAACGTGAGATCAAGCCTGGTTACGAAGACTCTGCTCCACTTCAAGGTGCTCAGTTCCAAGCTCGCTATTATAAATCATCCATCTACCAACGTATGATGAAAGAGTTGAGCGACTACGAAAACCTTATTGAATCCGAAAATCCTGCAGAAAAGTTCAAGAAGGCTATTGAACAAGAACATCAAAAATATGCTCCCAATAGCTCACCTTACACTGCCTCATACTATCAGCAAGTCAAGGCTCTCACCATTCGCCAGTATCATCTTCAGATCAAGGATACAACAGCTCTCATTTCTCGTTATGGCACAATTCTCGTACAAGCTCTAATTACTGCTTCCTGCTTCTACAACGTCCCACATGATGGATCTGGTGCGTTCTCTCGAAGTGGTGCTATCTTCTTCTGTATGTTGTTCAATGCTCTTGTCTCTCAATCTGAACTTATTGGCTTTTTGACGGGTCGTCCTGTTTTAGAAAAACATAAGCAGTATGCTCTTTATCATCCTTCAGCATTTTATATTGCACAAGTCATCATGGATATACCCTACACATTTGCTCAAGGTATGACGCCTAACTCTTTTATCTCGTTTCTTTACTAACATGCCTTCAACAGTTGTCATATTCTCTCTTTGCTCCTACTTTATGATGGGCTTAACCTTAACAGCAGGAAGATTTTTTACATTCTTCATTTGCTTATTCTTTATCAACATGTGTATGAATGGTTTCTTTAGAAGTTTTGGTGCTGCCACATCCAGCTTTTTCCTTTCAACACAAATTTCTAATGTTGTGCTGATTGCAACTATTTCTCTTTGTGGTTATGTTATCCCATACGGTTCAATGCATCCTTGGCTCTCATGGTACGTTGCGTTATTATGAAATCACATGATTGATACTCATTTATGCTTTTCATAGGGTTTACTGGATCAGTCCTTTTGCCTATGGTTATAAAGCTCTTCTCTCCAACGAAATGAAAGATCAAATCTACACCTGTGAAGGCCCCGGAAACTCTGTTCCTTATGGCCCAGGCTATGATGACTGGAATTACAAGGTCTGTACACTGAAAGGAGGTTTACCAGGAGAAAACTTTGTACTCGGTGACAACTACTTGAAAGAAGCACTCAAATGGAACACAAAGGATCTCTGGGCTCCCGACTTTGTTGTTGTTGTTGCTTATTTCCTTGCTTTCACTCTCTTTGCCGCAGTCGTTATGGAATTTGGTGGCTTAAAGTCTGTCGGTAACTTGACAAAGCTCTACAAGCCTGGAAAGGCTCCTAAGCCTCGCACGCCTGAAGAGGAAGAAGAGTATCGCCGTCAACAAGCAGAGAGCAATATTGCTATGGACAAGATCTCTACCGGTACTACTTTCTCTTGGCAAAATATTGATTATACTGTTCCCATCAAGGGCGGTGAAATTCAGCTCCTAAACCACGTTAGTGGTATTGTTAAGCCTGGCCATCTTACTGCTCTTATGGGATCCTCTGGTGCTGGTAAGACCACTCTTTTGGATGTCTTGGCTCGTAGAAAAACAGTTGGTAAAATCGATGGTCGTACTTACTTGAATGGTGAAGCCCTCTTGGATGACTTTGAGCGAATCACTGGCTACTGTGAACAGATGGATATTCATCAACCTGCTGTGACAGTTAGAGAGGCACTTCGATTCTCTGCTTACTTGCGTCAACCTGCGGAAGTATCCAAGCAAGAAAAGGATGAATATGTTGAACAAATCATCCAGTTGCTGGAAATGAATGATATTGCTGATGCTCAGGTTGGTGAGGTTGAGACTGGTTTTGGTATCTCTGTAGAAGAGCGCAAACGCTTGACAATCGGTATCGAATTGGTAGGCAAGCCTCAACTCTTATTCTTGGACGAACCTACCTCTGGCTTGGACGCTCAAAGCTCGTACAACATCATTCGATTCATCCGTAAGCTTGCAGATGCCGGCTGGCCTGTTCTCTGTACTATTCATCAACCCTCTGCTATCCTTTTTGAACACTTTGATCACTTGTTGCTGTTGGTTCGTGGTGGGCGTACAGCCTACTATGGTGAGATCGGTAAGGACGCTCGTACCATGATTGACTACTTTGAACGTAATGGTGGACCTATCTGCTCTCCTTCAGCTAACCCTGCCGAATACATTCTCGAAGTTGTTGGTGCTGGTACTGCTGGCAAAGCAACAAAGGATTGGGCCGATGTCTGGACCAACTCTTCTGAAGCCAAGGATCTGGAAGAAGAATTAGAATGCATTCATCAAACAGCCGACCAGAATCCTAACCGCAAGGCTCTTCCCTATGCTACCTCCTTCTTGACTCAATTTTACCTGGTTCACAAGCGTATGGCTCTTGCCTATTGGAGATCTCCTGACTACAACATTGGTCGATTCATTACGGTTATGGCCACTTCATTACTGAATGGATTCACCTTCTGGAAGCTGCAGAATAGCACCGTCGACTTGCAGAATAGACTCTTTGCTCTGTTCAATGCTTTCCTGATCGGTTACGTCCTTGTCCTTCTTGCTCAACCTAAATTCATGACTGAGCGTCTCTTTTTCCGAAAAGAGTATGCTTCACGACTTTATGGCTGGCTTCCTTTTGCGATCTCCTGTGTTCTCGTCGAAATCCCATATATTCTCGTCTTTTCTGCCTTTTATATGTGTGGATTCTACTGGACCGCTGGTTTAGCCAATATATCAGAGGCCGCCGGCTACTTTTACATCATGCTCGTCTTCTTTGCTGCGTGGGCTGTCACTTTTGGTTTCTCTGTCGCGGCCTTCTTTGAAAGCGGTGTGTTGGCTGGTGTATCTACTCCTGTTATCATCTCTGTGCTGTATCTGTTTGCTGGTATGTTCAATCCTCCCAGCATGATGCCTCGCTTCTGGACTGCTTGGATGTACTGGATCGATCCTTTCCATTACTTCATTGAAGGTTTAGCTACCAACGAGTTGTCTCATATCAAAGTACAATGTAATACTGATGACTTTGTCAAGTTCTTGCCTCCTATTGGCCAAACGTGTGCTCAATATACACAAAGGTTCTTTGAATATGGTGCCACCGGCTATATCGCTAATCCCAATGCTACTCAGCCAGAGTACTGTCAATACTGCAAATTCAATACAGGTGAAGAGATGTACAAAACTACCTATGGCTGGGACGCGGCCAACAAGTACAGGGACCTTGGTGTCATGGCTGCCTTCATTGCCTTTAATGTTATCTTCTTTAGTGTCATGGTGTACTTGAAGCGTAAAGGAAGACGTTAATTACTCATTCATATACATCATTTTAATACTGTATCATATTCATCTAATAGAAATAAATGTTTGTTTAGTTAATAATAAAATATCCATCTTTGCCATCCTCTTTATTCAAATGCGATATGAGCATATGTGTGTTGGGTATAAAAGTAGGGGGAGAGTTTTAGAACAAGTCAGCATCATCATCCACATCTTCAACCTCCCTTTCTGGCAATAAACCTCTCTTGATACGTGATGTTCTACAATTACAGACAGTTTCTAATAACTCTGGTTCATCCATCAATCTTTCATAAGCTTTTTCTGCTGCATGTCTTCTAGCCACTTTGATATTCCAATCAGCACCACAAGCTAAAGGCTTATCGTGAAGGAACACGACACATTTTTGACTTTCTGATCCAGTTGAACCTGTGGTATGATTTCTATTTTCCATGTATGTTAGCTGAATAGTTCTTTTTTCCCTTTAATTATCCTTACCTAAGCATAAAACTTTCGCAACCAAAATTCTGTAAATAGGTAAGTAGTTTACGCATAGGATGAATACGTATCAACTCTGGAGTGACATGCTCGTTAAAGAGAGGCACAAACCATTTCTCAAATAACCTCGAACAGGGTTCCAGATCAAACTCGGCGTCCACAAATACAGCGCCAAGCATACTTTCGACAACATCGGACAAGACCTTTGGAATATTCAAGTTTCTCCAATATTCTCCTTCTACTTGTCCACCCTTCTTCATATCATCCACTTCTTGTTCTAACGTTTCAATGGATCTGACGAGCCTTCCAGAGTAGTGGATAATATGCTTATGAAGTCCATTATTCAAGCAAATGATACCCAGTACTTGATTATTAACACATGAGTCCTTCAAGGTCGTGATTGTACCTGGATCAGCATCTGGGAATTTGGTAAATAGGTACTTGATGACCAAGAAATCCAAAATAGCATCACCTAAGAATTCAAGACGCTGGTAACATGGAGCAGTGGAGTTGGGTAAACTTGCGTGAGTTAGAGCTTCCACAAGGAGCAAAGGCTTTTTGAATTCGCGTTCGACAAGAGCTTGGAGTTTGGGCAAGTTGAGCATACGAAGTGCCTTGCTTTCTGCACGAGCTGGCACCGTCTTGCGAGACTCTTCAAAGGCGACATTGAAATCTGACCACTTTTCGATTTGGTCAAAAGGAATTTGCAATTGAATGGCAGTTTGGAGACAGCCTTCAAGGCCATTACACAAATAAGCAGCGCCAAGTGATGCTTCTACGATATCTGCCAACGTCTTGTCAGATAACCTATGTTTGTTGATCATTTCTAGTGTTTCTGGATTATCTGCAGTGCATGTAAAATGAGGCGGACGCCAGTATCGTCGATTGAATGCTTGGCTTGTGACATAGCGATAGAACTTGAGTCGCTTTGCAGCCCTATATAATGCTCTGTTGCAGACAACACGAATACGTAAGTGATGAAGTTCGCCTTCGTTACTAAAAGGAAAGTTGATATATAAACGAATTGTAGCAATAAACTTCAGGAGAGAGTCTATTAAAAACATGAATACTTGTATTGTTTTTTCCTATAACGATTTACCTCCAAGTGTTTCAAGTCGTTCATAGTTCATTTCCATACTTGCAGATGGCATGGTATATGCTTCAAGTAGATACTCATCGGTAATCGGTAGATTATATCTAGAACGTGCATCATGACAAAGCAATAATGAGTCAATTCTTGTCATAATTGATGGGACCATCATCATTGCTACAAAAACGCTTGCTTTTATAAAGTACTGAGTACAGAACTGAGGAACAACAAAGGTTCGTGCAGGCCCCTTTAATTGAGCTGCCATAGTTTCTCCTGGATACAAAAAGTTCATTGTCTTTTTGAATCGTTCAACTTCAATCATGGGCTGTTGATCATCTGTTATAGCAAATCGTTCACCAAGTTCATTATAAAAGTCTTTGAATGAAGCATAAGATGCTTCATGGATCTTGTAACCTTGAGGCACTGGACTGAGGACGCTCATATCGTAGCGAATGGTTTTCACCAGGTACCGGCGGAAATAGTCTGAATTATCAATGACAATAATATCAGTAGGATCTTCAATTTCAGAAAGATCCAATGGCTTGTTTGCTTGATCTACGATAGCCTGAATCTGACTCCAGTCAACCAAGTTCTTCAAGTCGTCAGCAGAGAGTTCTTCGAATTTTGTTTCTTCACAATTCTTGACGAGAGGCACGATAAAGTAAGGCATATCGATCATAGGGCAGTGATACTCTTTGTTCATTAGCTCTTTTAACAGCTTGAGCATATAATCGGAAAGAAGCACAACAGTGTCTCGATCAAAGACAAGCTCAGTCTGAATATTACGAATATTGACTGCAAATGGTTTACTCTTGTGGAACAGTTTCAGTTGCGGAAGTGTAATGAAGGGCTTCTTTGTGACAAGACATAGACGACGGTATGACCTCTCTTCAAACTGGTAGTTCTCCATTTCGACTTCAAGTATAGTAAACCACATGAAAAATGGACCTTCGCCTAACTCTTCTTCTGTTTCCTCTTCATCTTTTTGAACTTTCTTGTTGTTCTCTGTGGCATGATCATTATTAATTTGTAGTTCAGAGACTTCTTTAGACAATGTTTCAATTATTGGATTATCTTTGGTGGAACCATCTACGTCCATTTCAGTAACCTTGACGGGAGAAGATCCTTCATTCTCGACATCCTTTTTTTCATCTGCTTCTGTACTGTGATTTGCTATCCTTGTGGCCTTTAATAAATCTTCGTTATGTTCCACATCAAAGTCCTCCTCTGTCTCTACAATTCTTTTCCAAAATTTAGGTGTACGTTTTTCATAAAGGCCATGTCGTCGTCTACTGCCAATGATATAACCATTCTCATCGTACTGAGGCGCCATTTCACCCAAAATCTCCTTCTTCAGGTTACGAGGCAAAAGGTGCTTATCAAGAGCATCTACCTGTTTCAATTCGTCACAAGCTTGTAAGGCAGCAAGTGCTTTGGCGAGCTTTTTTGATCTCACGAAGGGCGACTCTACTTGCTGAATAGCAGCATTGCTTGGTAAAGACAAGATGCATCTGTATCCTTCCACACTGGCAACGTATTCAAATATGGGTTTCAAGACACAGAAGCTGTCTGAGGGCAATGAACTGCAGTACCTGTGAATGAGAGGCACGGCATTTTGTTTAGTCACTGTTGCGCCTGTTTCGAGATCTATAATGGCGCTTTCCATAAAGTCCTCGTCAGAATCATAATCTTCTTCGTCCGAAGCGTATCCGTCATCTCCAACGCCAAACTTGTTTGCAACATTTCTGTCAGCAGGTAAGGCTTGACAAAACTGCTTCATGGAATTTTCCAGAGCTCTAAAGTCATCGATGGTGCCTGTCTGGTTGTGATTTTTCTGTTCAGCCATAATGACAAACTTGGAGTCAGAGCAACGGGCTCTTCCTCTTGATTGAATATACGAAATCAATGTATGAAAGAAGTCAAATCTACTTGTTGTTTAGAATAAAGTAATAAGCATATGTAAATAGAGTTTATACCTAATGACAAAGTTACAGGGTTGGATATCTAAGCCTTCCTCGGCAACGTTGGTAGCAATAAGCAAGTTGATTTCGCCTGTCCTAAACTTTTGAATCGTCTTGTTTTGTTCCTTAAAATGCATCTGCACGTCTCCTTCTTCACTCGAGCCATGGCCTGTCAAGATACCAGCTCTCAATCTGCTAAGTGAGTCCAAGGATTGAATGAGTAGTTGTATAGCTACTGCAGTGTTTTTTCTTTCTACAAAGACGATACCGCAGAACTGTTGCGTGCCTGACGTGATGATTTGAAGAATTTGAAGGAGCTTTGTAATTTTAGGAGAGAAAAGACTAATGTCATATATATCAGGATTACGAGGTATCTCCATGTTGTCAACAAGCTCATAAGCATTCTTGAGAGCCAAGTCGTCTTCTAACAAGGATTCTCTATCCAGATCCTGCGTCTGTCGAGCTACGCGTCTTTCCAAGCCTGATAGCATATATTTCCACGTTACATCACAACACCATGGTCCTAATTGAGCAAGGATGTCTCTTGCAACTGTGAAACATCGACTAAATTTTGGAATAGAACCAATCTTTTCTCGTATTTGGCCCGTCAATGCTGTTTCTTCATATATCGGTGCTGGATTATAGAGCGCCGTTATTTCTAAAACCTTGAATGTTGTTATCTGCTCCATATTCGAAGCTGTATAGACTTTTGCATCAAGGTTTTTCTCTAATTGACTACAAATAGATAAGCGCTTCGCTCTATTATAAATATGTAGTATTCTCACGCTACGCTATTTTCCACATCATTTTTTGAATGCACTGGCGAGGCTGTCATTCCGAATATCTTGGGGCGTTTCTCGGCTGGACATCGGTCATAGAATTCTCTCATAATCAGGTTGAAAGGGTGTCTCTTTGTGGCATGATGACATTCATCAAAGACAATCAAATGTGCCTGGTTGTGCGTATATATTTTAGTACATCGTCATGTATTAAAACTGGTAAAATTACTCGATCAATACTCAAAAAACCATGGTAAAGGGCATCCAAAAAGATTTGTGCTGTCATGACGCATACATCACTTTCTTCAAATATGATTCTCCACCTCTTTTCTGACCAATTGTCAACATCCATTTCACCACAGATTGCTTCAACCACAACATCACAGTTGGCTTTGATGACACTCGCTTGTTGGAAAACGAGAGGCACACGGTCAACCAAGAAGAATGCCAATTTGGTCTATAGAGGCGTGAGTTATGAGCCATGTATATCATCTTTACTTACTTCGCGACGGGTCAAGCGCGCTTCTCTTTCTAAAGCAGCCATGTGCTTTATCAACATGACTGAGATCAAAGTCTTACCGGCACCTGTATCCAATACTGCGATAACGTTTTCTTGAAGTGCTTTCTGATAGAGTTCATATTGATATTCACGGGGAGCTAACAAGGCAGCTTGTTGAGCTGCTTCAGCTTCTGCTATTTCTGCATTATCTTCGTCATAGTCCAGTTCTAGCTTTTCTTTCTCTTCAAGTTCGATAAATCCCAAGTCTTTTGTTTTTGAATCTGGCGTGGCATTGATGAATTCAGGTTCCAGATACTTTAATAATCTTGACGGGTCGCCTTCATTCATTCTGTTTTCTATGGGTTCAAGTGGGACATAGGTTACCGTCTTGTCTTCATAGTCGTCTGAGACTCTTAGGGTCTCAGTCGTCATTGGGTTTGCTTATAAAGTTTAAAAAAGAGGTGCATCGATTTCATTGTTTGGCATTTTAAGGAGGCTTGTGACGTTTTTTAAAACTAAACAGATCATCATTTACGACTTAAACGTCGAGCTGAACAAGAACAGCAGGAAGGCAGCCCAGTGAGACGTAAGGGGGAAGACTTAGAGTAGAGCATTCTCAAACCATTTCCACTGCTTATATTTTTCAGTTACACCTTTTAAACCCATTAAACTTTGGGAGCATGAATCAGGGATGTTCACATTGTCATGCTCTACACTGTATAGACGACAGGCAAAAGACATCTTCGCCAAGGAACTATAACTGGGAATCATGTTGCATGCAGGGATCAATACAGTTACAACTCTCGTCTGACACACTTAGTTATTTGAAGGGCTTGTTTAGGCATAGAGATACCTAAGGAAGATATTTCAAGATGTATGAAAATGGTCCATTTTTTGTTGCTTGGGCTGCTAAATGGCAAATGAAGGTAAAGTTTCTTGATGAAAAGTGCATCTTTGTCAGCTAAATTTAAGTATAACTATAGCATTTACAGGAAACTGAAGGGTGGTGCATAGACTTAACGTACAGGACATGCAAGTCATTCAATGGTCCCGAAAAGGACGGCTACTTGTTTATTGTTGTTGTTAGAGGCTTTAGCACTAGCAAATGTCTTCCTGTTTGCTTTTTGTCACTGATCATGAGATCATACTGGCCTTACACCAGTGGCTAGCTTGGCTGAAAGATAATTTTAGCCTGGAGTTAAAAAGAATAATGGTCGGTTGCAGTCCTACGGAAGTTGCTGCAATAAGAGAGGTCTTTTCTAATGTGGACATACTTTTATGCTATTGGCATATTAAGCGTGCGTGGAGAACCTACAACAAGAGAGTCGTAAGTTTTAAATGTGAATTTAATGCATATATACAATATAGTGTAATGCTTAGGTAAAAATATGCAAGTCAACTCAGGATACAAAGGTAATAAGAGATCGTGTTCACGCTAATCTAAGTAGCATGATGTTCTCAGAAACACCGAAAGCGTTCGATCTGGCCCATCATCTATTCCTTGTGCACTTCAACAGCTTGTAGCTTCCAAGAAACCAAGCTACCCTTCTCTCCTCGTGCTCCTGCCAACAAATCCGCACACATTTTTTTATCATTGGAATCCATGCGATAATTTCTAATTTTTGTCTAGATCGAGCAGAATGTCGTCCCTTCCTCTTTTCCTCTTTCGCTCCGAATCAAATACTACAACGTTGGAAACATAGTCATGCTAGATTGATGAAATTGAATAAAAGAGCTATTCGTGACAAGGACAACCTTTGCCAGTACAACGCTGCCTTTGCGTTTACTTCCTTGAGCTGTGGTATTGTGTCTGATGAGAAAGATCGTCAATAGCATCCTTCACAGATGTGGTAGACCATATGCATTTCGCCGCGATATTAAACACAATTCTCCTCGTGAAGTTTAGATATTTTTACTACAAGCAACAAGTTACTAGTAAACAGCTTTAATCAAATCAATTAGAACTTTTATTTCCTAATTTTCATAATCAGCCATGGCTTCATCTAACTTTCTTAACCATTCACTATAATTCAGACTATTGGCTGCTTTATCACCTGATTCATTCTCTTCTTGGTTTGGGCTAATACCATGAATCAATCTAAGCATGATAAGATACTCATCAAATGTAAATTTGGGACCATTTTCACGTATAGATTTGATCATTCCCTAATACAAAAAAAAAAGAGATTTCAGTATAAAATAGTGTTTTTCTTATTATTATTTTTTTACTTCGCTTCCAGTATTATACAACTGGTAGTATTCTCTAGCTTGTTCCATGATTGCACATTGGGAAAGAGGTACAAAGTTACTCAGATTTTGTTGTAAGGCAAGTATGTTGCGAGTCATCTTTTGAATACCGTTATTGTTTAACTTTCTTATAAAAGTAGCTTCAGAGATGAGTAGATGAACGATAAGGTTTGGTAATCCATCAAAGACGAACCTAGTAGTATATAAGTCATTGAGCATCATTTAAAGTTTAACTTACAGCTCGTCCTTTGGTGGCAATGATGCGTTCACACAGTCATTCAATTCCATCAGGTCAGCATTTAAGGTAATTATATATGGATCTGGTTCAAACGATTCGTCTTCCAGAGAATAATTACCATTTCGAATGACCATTTCCAGGTAGTACATGGTATGACAACGTCCTTCGAGACGCAGCGTGAATAAGCATGTCTCTGCCAGTTGCTGATATGTAGTTAATAACGCGTCAAATCGTCTTTATGAAAAAAAAAGGATGGGTTAATGATGTTTAGCAGTCTATTTAATCAACTTACTTTGCCATATCACCTCGAAGAGGCAATAGAGCTTGATTAGCTTCTTGTTCACCGGGTTCCCTTGTAGGTCTAGGGACTTCACTTGACCATCTCTTTGAGTCCTACGGACCTGACAAGACTCCTTTCATTACCCTCAAACCATTTCTTGCCAAGTTCTTCTTTTCTTCACGTTTATCTACGTTTGAATGAGAAGTAGATATGCCAGTTGACCTCAACTCCCAAATTTCGCGGACAAACCATTTCTAAAATATATCATAATTAGAACCTTTGTCTTATATTGGATGTGGTTGATTTACCAAGGTATGATACAGTCTTCCTAAAGAAATGAATTTCTTTGTGTCAAATATGAGTTCACTAGCATCCAACTGTCTATCATTTTTTAATTTCAATTCAAGTTGTATTTCCTACAAAAAAAAGTAGTTAATATGTATAGCTCATAAAAGGAAGCCCACTTTACTGATTGATGAAGCGATTTATGGAAGCTATCACTTATTCCCTATTAAAACAAAAGGGAATTTCTTTTGTGAATGGATTGTCATTAATTCATATAATTTACTTACTGAGGCATCCGTAAAGTATGGGTTTTGAGTCAACAGACTGATCAAACTCTCATCCTGAGCCCAATCACCACTGAGACTGATTGTAACATCTGTCACATTTTGTTGTTGCTGTTCACTCGTATGTGAACTACCTCTTGCAACGGTAGCTGACAAACACACGCATTAATAAAGACTGTCCATTTACTTTTTAAGTACTTACAATAGAATCTTTGATAGCACTTTTCATAGAACTTTAGTAAAACGATTTCAATTAATCGAACGTATTCATCAGTGTGGAAGGGCATCGTATGCATAGTCCTGCATAAACTTTGTACTACTGAAATCAAGGCAACAGCACTCTATTGGGTAGGTAGTTAAGCAACAATAGGTAGAGAGTACGCAAGGATTACCTTTGCAATAGGGTACTTTGAATAGGTTTTATAGTCACGCACATCTTGAAAGGCATCCAATCCTAATTATCAAAAAGATATCAGTTAAATAATTGATTTTTGTTTTGTATTTGTCATTTACCAACTGTAGCATGCTGGATAAGCTGCATGACTTTTTCCTCAATCTGTGGTAAAAATACATTCACAGCAAAATCATCCAAAAAGCTACCAAATCCTTCCTCGCTATGATCGTCACTAAATAAGATGCATTAACACTATGTCTACAAGCTTATCTTTATAAACTTACTAGCTAGGGAAAATCTCCTTGACTCTATTCAAAAAGGCCATCGTAGGACTCAAAAGGACACTGACATTGTATGCATCAGGCTTAACCAACACCTTGTAGCCCTTTGATGATATGTCATTTGCATACTTGTCAATGATTGTCGAGTGAGGATGATCACCTGAAAATCCTGGAATTTGCTTTTTGAATGAGATAAACAATCTATTTTCTAACTCGCCATATGCATCCTCCACTTGTGGATTCTCAGTTGTCTCCAAAAATGAAAATAGCTGCTTCTGCATATCACGTTTATCTTGAAATCCTTTCTTTGTTCCTGGTTCGTCTACAGAAACAATAGATTGCTCCTGACTAGTCAAATAGTCTTTTAATATTGATCGTATCTGCACGTATATGTATATAGTTTAGTTTGAGCGTCTATAAAAAGAGTGACTTTTATACCTCGGTTTGAACAGGTCTCCAGATTTCATTAAAGTGGTATATGTTAATGGCTGTTGATGTCATGTATAAAAGTTAGAACAAAGGTTCCCTTGATCATAATACTACTAACCTTCTGAATTATTTGCCTTGGCTGTGATTAATCGCTACAGAGTAAAAAAGGGGGGGGGATCAATAATGTCAATAGTCAAACAATGATTGATCTAACCTTCTTTATTCTTCTGGCACACGTCTCGACAAACTGATGACCTCTTAAAACAGCTTCAAGCTTTGAATAAAGCGTCCACAAGAGGTCTTTTAATATCTCGTTCTTTTCTTCAGAATTGGCCTTGTCTAGGCAGTAAATATCATTCTCATCACTGCTTTTGTCATTCTTTCTACTCTGTGACATCCAATTATTGATGTGCCTATACTTTATTTAGTATCACAGCATTTGGATAAACTGATACAAACCGTTGCTCAACTTCTGTAATTGTCTTGTCAACAAGCGTATGGATCTCTATTGGTAATCGTTCTTGAATAGTCTACGAGGGGATGAGTTATCTATGATAAGTCAAGATATTGATGTACCTCTAAAGTGGGCAGTATTTCTCCTAATACAGATAGTGATTCCATAATCAATTCCATATAATAATATGAGTCTGTTTCCGGATTCTTGTCTTGATCTTCTGTAATCTAATGCGGTATTAATATACTGCGCAAGTGTATATTTCATTTGGTAGTTACGATATCATTGTCTGTAGAGAACATATCATCTTCATCTAGAAATAATACCGTTATAAACACATCAAAGCTGATAATTGATGTTTTTTTACCACTTGTATTTGGTTCTTTAAATATCCTTGGTTTAATAGCTATTTCAGGCACTAATAATCATCATAAGCACACACTGGTTCATTCACGGTTTTTTTTAACTTACAATCTTGTTGCCTGGGCGTGTATGCAGCCCATCGATTATCGCAATAAGAGCTTTTGAGGTATAGATGTATATGTAATTCTTCTATTAGTAGATCATGGAGCGTCTAACAACAATGATAAGAAAAGGCTGCGCGTGTCTTTGTGTATGTCCTACGTTCTTTTGACTCTGTAAGGTCCTTCTAATGTCATCCAATGCACCAATCTGTGTCATTTCTTTACTGGATACTGTCTTAATTGAACTAACAAGTAGTTTAGAAGCAGTCAAAATATGCTTATTTTCAATCATTGTGTCTATTTTTTCAGGCGTAGTCCTTAGGTCTTCTCTGCATAAAGAAAAATAGTCAAACAGATTGATCGAGCAACATAAGAACAAGACTTACATGATTTCTAATATATTTAACATTTCCTTATATTGTTGAGACTTATACCATAGGTTTAACAAATCATTTCTTTTCTGTAATAACTCCTCTTTGCATCTTTTAAGGTTACTCTTTATTTGCACAACTCTATTGGTCGAATCTAGATTATGTATTAATTTTCCAGTCATAAAACAGCTCTCTCTCTCTCTCTATCTGCTTGTTTTTTACCATTGATATACTGCAATACGCCTCCAAACGTTCCAATAGAGCTATTGAAGCCCTTGTAGTAATCTATTACATTGTTATTATCGTCATTTTTGTCTGTTTATATTACGCGGTTACCATTAACAATAGTCTTTAAAGCATTATCCAGATTGAATAAAACTCTTTGAAACTCTCTATAATCCTTCTTTTTCCCAATAGAGCTATCGTCCATTAGCTTTAAGCTAAAACTAACAGGATCAAACTAGAAACGGGAGTTGATAAATCATTCCCAAAAGAAGCGATAGCTTACTTACGTCTTCTTGTAGCATAAATGGCCAATCTTGGTGTATCTCTCTTAATACAGCTATATATGCCAAGTTGGTTCTCTCTTTATTTGTTTTATTTGAGCAAAAAAGACCAACCTTCAAATTCTGAAAAGTCGCCCTCAACATCTTCAGTTGGATCATAATAATCTTGCTCTGCTGGTATATATTTTTGTCTCACTATTGTTTTTGATCTTGACGGTGTCCCTGATGAAGATAGAAATGGATTACTCATGGCAAAAATGAGAAAAAAGGTCGTATCAAAGGCATAAAAAGGGGGGTTAGTTTGTGTGTGCATTTTAAATGTGGTGTTCATAAGAATTGGTATCCCGCTCTCAAAGTAGAGGAAAGTGTCAACTTTTGCTGGGACGACGTAGTTCTTCCCAATAAAGACACTTTACCACCTTCGCAGTCAGCTAATGGCTCACATAATAACAGCTACTCGCAACTCAAACGAGAAGGGGCTAGTGTGTTCCGAGGAAGCACCAGAACTGCCAGCTACGTTGAGTCGTCTACCTTTGTCTCAAACAACTCTACCATTCCTGAAGATGTTTCTCGTGATCGTAATCGCTTGAGATAAATTTTTAAGCCTTCTTCAAAGGCTTCGCTACTGACGCTGCCTTTGTCGATATCTCCTCCGTCGAGGATAAAAAAAACCTTTCATTAAAGAACTTAAAGAAGCGTGTTCCAATAACTCCCATTTGGTAGTACTCTTCTGTCGCTGCTCTCACTGTCGATCCTGTTAAGCGTGACTCTGAAGCGCTTGTATATGCTCATTGACGCTCCATGCCCCCTTATTGCCGATATTGTCACAGCTCATCTCACGTAGTTGCCGAGTACCCTGTCAAATTACGCCTTACTACCTGTTATCACTACAATGAGATCGGACATATGCCTAAGGGCTGCCCTTGTAAGAACTCTTATGTCAATTTGCTGCTTCCAATTAAATGGTCCATATGTCGCCTGTTGTCACTCAGGCTCTTCTTTATGATAATCAGGCCAAGAAACAAGCTGTAAGAAGCATCTCTACCCAATCTTCACCGGTTGTTCAACCTACTCCGGTCAGCTTTTAGTTTGGTCTTCCTCAGTTAGCCTTTGATGCCTCTGCTGTTTCAATTGTAACAGCCACTAGTTCTTCCTCTGCTGCACTTCCATCTTCTTCATGTTATACTCCTCGTCAGACCAGCTCTCAGACTGCTGCTACTTTAATCTCTTCCGAAGATCTTTCAGGCGCTTCATCCGACATACCGGTCGCTTCGGTGAAAGTCTATTCCGCCTGTAATCATCTGGTCATCCATATAAGAGAGGCAGTAAATGTCCTTTGAGTGCTAGGAATAAAGTTTCTGTTTCTACTCCTGAGGCTATTGAGAACGAATCAATGGAGCTTGGTAATAATGATACTCCTAATCACCAAGATGCCTCTCTACCATTATTCGTGCTCTAGCCGTTGATTTCCGTAACGGCCATTTGGGTATCTTTGGATAGTTTAATCATCAATAATCTAATGATGAATTATCACTCGTTCAGCCATGATAGTCGGGGCAATTCCTTCAATGCATCAACTACCTCTTCAAACTCTTCACAAATCTTTGCTACTAATATCACTAATACCACTACTACTATCACTAATTTTAAAATCACAACCATGAACTGTCATAGGCTTCGCAAATCTGGCGATCTCTCTGTTCGAAATTACTTCATTCGTTATGCTCGCGCTCATTCTTTTGATACTCATTCAAGAAACACATGCTTCTTCAGTTGAGCTACAACAAGCACAAATGTTTTACAAAAGTCTCTTTCGAGCAGATCAGCCATCATATCAGCTTCTGAGTACCGCTCATCATAACTCTGCTGCATCTGTGAATCCACTGTCATCCAAAGAAGAACAATGGCAAGCTTAATCTTAGGGCAATCGTCTGTGTCAATCCTGACTGCATTGATCATTAAAATATATATGCTACAAGAATCAACGCCAATGTAGCAATTAATATCATGAAAATTGGATTGTACAAGTTGCTTACAAACAGCAGTCATCCTTCGTGTTCTGAAGAGTGATGAAAATAGAAAAAGCTATTCAATGGCTCGACGCAATTCGGGAAAGCTGATGTCAATATTTAGAGTTGTTCGCCCAAGGGGAATATTTATTATGATAAAACTTTTAAGAGCTACATGAGCATCTAAAGTCCTCTTCTGTCTTTAAGAAAGAAAGAGAGATTAGAATGTATTAAAGAAGCAATAAACAAACTTACCGAAACTTTAGCAGAAATCCATTGCTCTACTTGGTCATCATATCTTTGGTTGAAAGGGTTGAGACATGCATCCATACATGCCTCTAATTTCTTGATAGCCTGCTCATCCGTACTTTTATTAAATTCTTGAATAACGTCTTCTAATATAAAATTTCGAAGTATGAATCGAGGATTGACACTATCCATTCTCTCTTTTCGTGTCTTCAAGTCTGCTTCATCCTCTTTCATCAAGCGTTCACGATAAGTATCCAGCCAATCCTTTAATGCTTCCTCACAATCCTTCTTATCAAGTGAGGTTTTGGTTGAAATGTCAGCCCATTGCTGCACTGGTGACTCCATGTTGTAGTTACTCAATGACCGATAGAAACGATGATAGTCTACTTTGAACATCGACATCCAATCAAACAATGGTGTAATGATCTTTTCAAGATCATCTTCTACTTCTTTAGCAAGGCCAAGTTTAGCTCTCATCTTGTTTGCGAGGTGCTTGTGAAAATGGTGACTATACTCGTTGCTTAACAGTTGTATGACAAATTCTTGACCTTTCTTTCTATATGCCTCAAGAGTTGCCTCATCAGTGGCAGTCTCCTTGTTATCTTCTGTAGGAAACACAACCTGGTCAGCGAGGTCGCCAGCACCAATCAATTCGTAAAATGGTATGCTTAGTTTGACAAGATTGAACAGACAAGCATTAGGCTGACGATAAAATGCATAGCCTAAAAAGTGCAGTACAGGTTAATCATGTGTCCAATTAACACCAAATGTACTCACGTCCTGTCTCATCTGAATGATTACAAATATATCCAGGATCGTAGTAATCCATAATCTGATATGGTCCGTAATCCATTGTTAGGCCCAGTATAGACATATTATCTGTGTTCAGCACACCATGGTTGAATCCTATAAAAAACAATTCAGCAAAGAGATCAGCATATATATATATATATATCATACCAATAGCTTGCCATTCTGCTACGGTTTTTGCTGTCATTTTTGTAACATATCTAAAGAATCTAGCATACTTATTATCCGTCTCCTTTGAGACCGTATCCTCTTTATCTTGCCCAACAACATTATCAATAGCATAATTTGCCAAAACTCGTACATTCTCCATATCATCTCTAGAATAAAACAATTCAAAATTACCAAACCTTAGCCAAGAGGGAGCCATGCGTGTGACAATAGCTCCTCTTTCAGGTTGACCTACACCTTCTGGTTAAACCCCTATCTTTTTTTTCACTATTCAATAATTACCTCCCATTGGCCCATCATCACGATACACCTCCCTCGATGTTCCTATGAGCGCCAACGCTCTCGTGGTAGGCACTCCCAAGGCATTCATATATTCGGACATTAAAAATTCACGTATGCTAGATCTCAGCACTGCATAACCATCTCCAAATCTTGAATAAGGTGTTCGTCCAGCGCCCTTCAACTGTAACTCCCAGTGCTCCCCTTTATGATTCTTACTCTCAAAGAGAGATACGGCTCTTCCATCTCCTAATTGACCGGCAAAATAACCAAATTGATGTCCTGCGTAGCATAGTGACCAAGGCCGTGTACCCTTCAACAGCCGGTTTCCAGAAAAGACCTGGGCGGACTCCTCTTTGTGGTGCTGGATTAGATCGTTGTAATCCAAATCGAGATCTTCACAGGCTTTCTTGGACATGCCCAACAGGACAGGATCAGGTGCCGATTCAGGAATGACATGAGAATAGACGGCGTTGAGGACATGACGTGGTGTTCTCATCAAATTGTTCGTATTGGTTTCTGTCACATTGGCCGTATAAATGTCTACGGGCAATGACTTTGTGAATTTCGTTGGCAATGAAGGTAAAGACTCCAATGTTCTCATCATTTTAGTCATTGACATAACACAAAGGACAAAGAGAGAGAAATAGTGAAAATGACGTAAAAGTCACACTTTTATATTGATGGGAAACCAAAATACACATATTAAAATGTAATAATGACATTGTACAAAAGATTATTATTGTTGTTCGCCCCATTGTAAGCGCTCGTTACCTGCGACATAAACAGAAGGAGTGGTTACTTGGTTACCACCGATATGTTTCTCTCGTGTAACAGGATCACGGAATAAGAAACCAAATAAACGGTCAGGAATCAAACGGATGACAACACCAATGGGTATGGATAACAGACCAACAACGATGGCAATAGCCCAATGAATGCCATCCAGAGCGATCACTTGGAAGGCAGGACCACCAAATTGGACAATGACGACTTGACCAAGGACGCAGATAAAGAAGATGATGATAAAGAATTTGTTGGCTAGTATATTTGTAAAGATATTAAGTTTATTGTCAATGCGTCGGCAGCTATTTAAATATATATCAGTATACGTTATTTTAGATGCAATTAAGACTTACTTGATTTCGTTGAATATTTGACAAAATACAAAAGTATTAAATACAACAGTCTGTAAAACAACACTGTCAGAAGGATAATTAAGTACACTACTATAGAGAAGAACAAGGGTGACAACGACTTGAAAGATGGCTTGACCAATGATCATCTTCCACATCCTGAAAGTGATCAGAGGAGCATTACGTGGTTCAGGATTACGAGTGAGGAGTTCTAAAGTAGGAGGATCAGTAGCAAGAGCTAACGCGGCAAAGGTATCCATGATCAAGTTGACCCATAAGAGCTGAACAGCCGTCAAGACAGATTTTTGGTCTGAACTGGCTACTGCAGAGATAAACGTAAGCATGACCGCTGTAATATTGACAGTCAATTGGAACTGCAAAAACTTCTTGACCGCGTCGTTCACACAACGACCCCACATGATAGCCTTGACAATACTTGAGAAATTGTCATCCATCAGAATGATACTCGATGCTTCCTTGGCAACCTCTGTGCCTGCGATACCCATACTGAACCCAACATCAGCCATCTTGAGAGCTGGACCATCGTTCGTACCATCACCTGTGACAGCTACGATATCACCCAGTTCCCGAAGACGGCTCACAAGAATACGCTTATCTTCCGGACTAGAACGAGCAAGGACTTGAAGACGAGGCAGGATAGCGTCCATTTCGGTAGGAGTCAGTTTTCTAAACGCAGGGCCTTCCATAACAACACCACCTGGCGTATAAATACCACATTGTTTAGCAATACTCTTTGCAGTTACCAGATTGTCACCAGTGACCATGCGCACAAAGACACCGGCACGTTGACAGGCTTGTACAGCCTCAGGTACACCTTCACGAAGAGGATCTTCAATGCCAACGACACCAATAAAAGTGAGGCTCTTGTCATGGACCAGATCTTCATAGGGCACTTGATCGTCATTGCTGTCTTCAGAGGCCCCTGAAGCTCCTTTAGGAGGCCACTCTTCAAAGTCACGATAGGCAATGCCGATCGTACGAAGACTACGTTTTGCGTAATTTTGGATAGTTTGTTCAACACGCACGCGGTCCTCTGAGGTCAAGTCTGTTGTAGCAACAGGTTCGTCACCTTGTTGCATGTCGAGCGATAAGACAAAGGAGCACAAATTGAGAATGATTTCAGAAGCGCCCTTGACATGAACACGGTACATCACCTTCTTTGTTATCGGATGGGGGTACTGCATGACAGTAGCCATAGCTTTGCGTTCGGAACTAAAGGGGTATAATTGCTCGATCGGCCACAGGGACCTTAATTTACCATAATGCTCAGCATGTAGATCACGAGAGAATTGAAGTAGCGCAGTTTCAGTCTTGTTACCCACAAAACAGGGCTCGCCCTTTTCGTTCTCTCCTTCAAAGGCCGTAGAATTTACGGCAATCGATTGGTTGATAAGGTCGAGTGCTGGTTTGGAAATGTGATTAGGTACATTGGCAATAGCAACAATGTCTTCTTGTTCCTTAGGTGATTTGGCAAAACTAAATGAGGAGCCAAAGGTACCTGCGACCACAGTCATTTTGTTTTGAGTCAAGGTGCCTGTCTTGTCGGAGCAAACGGTTGTTGCGTTGCCCATGGTTTCACAAGCAGCCAAGACACGAACCAGATTATTGTCCTTGAGCATACGCTGAGTGGCATAAGCAAGAGCTATAAAAGAAGTTAGAAACTGTTTTTATGAATATCAAGTTTCAATATTACCCAGAGTAACAGCAAGAGGTAAGCCTTCAGGAACAGCAACAACAACAATAGTAACAACAACAATCAGGATCTTCATGATGTCTAAAACAATTGTCGTAGGTTGATCAGGGACGCCGTATCTCCAACTTACAAAGTAACGGATAAGCAAGACGATGAGCATCAATAAACCAGCTGCAGAGCCAAGTTTGGCAATCATCTCAGCCAACTGGTTGAGTTTTTCTTGAAGTGGTGTACTCTCAGGCTCTGAACGAAGGGCCATCATGGTACGACCATAGTACGAGTTCTGACCGACACTGATGACGAGATATGTACCAACGCCCTCCAGGACCTTGGAGCCAGAGATAATAAAAGGATCAGGCAAATGAGACGGGAGCTTGGAACTGTCTTGTCTAGCATAGCGTTCACAGACTTGCCATGGTTGTTTACGAACAGCGTCTGATTCACCTGTGGCAGCAGATTCATCACACTTCAAATTATGGCCTTCAATAAAGATACCATCTACGGGAGCAATGTCGCCTGGCTCCAAGTGGAGAATATCACCCACTTGAATGTCATGCACAGATATCATGATGACCATGGATTCTCTTGTGGCCTTGAAATATGGATCAGTAAAAATTCTGCAAGCTTGATCCTACTTACTTTTACAACACGATCTTCCTTTTTAGCATTCAGTTTACGAAACTGCTTTTCTTTTTGATAATCATTCACACTTCCGACAAGAACGACGAGCAAGATGGCAACGATGATGGCAACACCTTCCACCCATTTGACGCCTGGTATTCTATGACCAAATGTATCGTATTCTGGAACTGCAATATCCTCATATAAGCCAACACCTAAGGAGACAACTGCTGCAATGGCTAATAGGATCTATAATTGAATTAGATGAAAATATAAAATGCGTATCTACTATTGCTCACAAGTGTCTTGTCCTGAAATGCGATCCACATGAGTCGAAGGATTCCTTTGGATTCTGTTTCAGGCAATATGTTTGCACCAAATATTTTCCTTCTCTGAGGAAACGCAGTGATATCAGGGGAACTAATAGTGATATCAGTGCGATGTGTCAGCTGTCTAGCACCTAGTGAATGCACTGTCGGGGTTCTTTCTAAAAGATCTGCATCCAAGACAGAATCGTCCTTTTTGTTATTTGTGATCTGATCCAGAGAGATGGGTTGATGGTTAGGTGCGTTCGGTATCAGACCCGATCGGAGGTCGACATGAAGTCCCTTTGCTACACCCTCTACACCACCATAAGCGCGTAATAATGGTAGGTTCTTTGGATCGACTAGTGCGCTCAGCTGTTCTGGTAAAAAAGCGAATGGATTTGAAGGGTCTTGATGAGGCGTCATGTGATCTACAAGATCAATCTTCACTTCATGCTGTTCTGTTGATTTTTCTGTAGTGACAACATTAGAGATGAGCGTTGGATTTTCGCTTAAAAATGCGCTAGGTGGATTTAATGTGTTCATGTAGAATATGTATTTCTTCCTGCCTCCTTTTTTTTAAAATTTTTTTGTTATAGTTATTATAAGGAAAAATAAGAAGAAGGGTGATTAAAAAAAGAAAAGAAAAAGAGAAAGTAAGGAAGGGTGTCTTTTATATACAAGAAGCAAAAAAAGGGGAAAGTAAGGGGTAAAAGAAAGAAAGAGATTATATGTATGATCATATTCAAGCATGGCACGCGCGCGTATATACATGTCTGTCCTAGAAAAAAAGACAGAGACAGGAAAAAAGAGAAATATCTATTTAGATTGTAAATCCATGTGCCTACACAACTTTCTTGCATTCAAATAAAAAGTCGATCTTTTGATCAGCTAAACTTCATTAAAGACGATTGCATATTTATTGAATAATAAGATTTAAACACTATTAACCAATACTACTATTCTAAGTTATATCATTTTTATAAAGACAAACTAAAATAAAAGCCCTTTTCCTTTGTGTGTTTTTTCTCCTGAGATGCATGACATAAACTAAATATATACTTTTATGTGTTTCTGTTGTTTATGCAAAAAAAAGGCGGAGTTGTATTATGATTTAATAAAAATGGTGTTTTGTTATGTATTTTTGCCTAATAAAGCAAGTTTTGTTATACATGCATACACGGTAGCATTCTTTATATTCCTATTCTTCTTTCTTTTCCTTACAGACAGAATGGCTCCCATGGTAAGCTTGGATATTTGATGTATAAGAGACTTTGACTGATTGATGTGTGTATAAATAGAATAAACGACGTCAAAACTCCAATGTGTTTGCCATGTTTGATAAGGCACAAGTTATGGAATTTAAAGATGCATTTAGTATAATGGATACCAATAGTGATGGATTAGTAGATATGAATGATTTAAAGATTACATTTGAAAGATTAGGTAATGCTATACATTATAGCTTAATAGTCCCAATTGACATCCCTCCCTTCTGACTTTTAGGTCAACCAGCGACAGAAGAAGAAATTAAAGAAATGCTTGGAGATGCGACAACACCCATCAACTTTACCGTCTTTTTAACATTAATGGCTGATAAATTAGCAGATATAGACTCAGAAAATGTGCTCTTGAAAGCATTTTCAGCATTTGACGATGATAGAGATGGAAAAATAAGTGCAGATTATCTAAGGGAATGTATGATGACTATGGGTGACAGATTCACAAACGAAGAGGTCGATATCATGTTTAAAGGATCAGTTATTGATGAAGATGGGAACTTTAATTATAGAGATTTTGTTAGAATTCTAAAGCATGGAGAATAAAGCGTTCTCGTACAATTGATTTAATGTATCATATTGCAGAGAAGCTGGGGGCAATATTGATTCGGTATTGTTATGAAGTGCCTTCACGATTCTATATGTATATGTTTCCTTTAATGCTGTCTTTTGCTGAATGTCACTGGTCAATAATTGGCTATGCTTTATATACTTGCTATGTAAATCTCTTTTGTATACTTCATTCCAAATAATCTTTAGCATATCCTCATGTTCATCGTCATAACTATAACAGCTGGCTAATTGAATAGCTGCCAAGATGTTTGATATGTCTGCTCCAACATTATCCAGTTTAACCAACAACTTAATCACCTGTATCCTTTCTATGCTTTCATGATTTAATACACTCCTTATCGATTCTCTCAGCTCATCCATTTCTTGACTTGACATCATTGTTGCGCATCTATTCAGTAGAAATTCGACCTTGTCATCTCTTTCATTGTGCATATATTTTAAATGTTCATTAAATGTATCAATCATTTCAGTCTGCATATGCGCGAATTCTAGCTCAGCAGTGATCTCTCTCGGTGAATCCTGTTCTTCTACTGCATATAGCATCTTCATCCAACTTAGCATATCGCATCTTTTATATACATTCGTCTCCTTTTTCACGCATTCTTTGAGACATTGAGATGCCTTTTCATAATTCTCCTGTGTCATGTGATGAATCCATGAAATACTCATTGCTCTATTCTCAAATATCTGGTCAAGGTATTCAGGTACAGCTCGGCTAAGTGATAGTATCTTTTCTTCTTGATGATGCTCAATCAGTCGATCTACTAAAAGGTTCAAGTAATCATAGCCATAGACCTTGGAAAAATATGCATGTTTCGCTTGTACTTCATCTGCTGTTAATTGACTATTCTCTAAAGCGGATATAATCGATGGTAAGTCATCATATGTCTCTGCAAGCTTGATTGCCGCTTCAAACAGGCCGCAGGAGCATAGTCCCTCTATCGTCACACGCATCGTATTCTGGAAAGTGTGCTGCCTTTGCTGTCGTATATCTCCTGCACTATAGATCATTTGTGGGTGGGTTTGTCTTTATCCTTTTTTTAATGCTTACCTCTTGTTGATCGAATTAAACATGTATTTGAGTAATAGAACGGATATGTCATATAGTCTGTCCTTTAGCTTTACAATCATTTCTTCGTTCACGTTATCATAATGGTCTGAAGCATATGACTGTATTCTCTCATTGACATTCATCATTATTTCCCTTGCACTAACTATAGCACACATGTGTTAGAACATGCTTATATATATTCAATAAAAAGATTTTTACCCATCCAAAGATCTCCATGGTCTTTTATATCATAAAGATTCAAACATCTTTGCTCATAGCTAGTTGCCCTATGAACCAGAGACTAAAGAGCATAAATACAAACTATAAAACACATGTTATTTTGAATTACCAGTATAGCCTCAGCCAGCTTTAGTAAATAAAACGCAGTATCTTCAGAGTCAGGAACAAGTGCATCAAATGTGCAAAAGAATTGATTCAGCAATTGATTTAAATTAAGAGGCTATATCAAGCAATCAATGACAATCTTGCAAATAATCTATAGACAAAATACTTACATAATCGATTAAAAAGGCACGTACAAAGTCATTACTATCTTGTTGCAAGAGTAACTGAGCGGCCTGTGAAAACTGCTTGACGAAGCTTCCATTAGAAATAAAAGTCTCATATAACTGAACAGCAAAGTAGTAATACTCTGTATTCACCATCAACTTGAGTCGTTCGCTTTCAGGCACCTATTTAGTAGTATGAGCAACTGTAAATAAAACAATAATTGCTTACCGATTCAATCAAGCCATTGGTGATCAAAGCAGCTATTATTCGACTCGAAAATACATATCTAGCTTCAAGATAGAATCCCAAATCAAGAGACTTGGGCAGTAGTTCGCTTCCCTGCATAATTTCATCTGCAACGGCTAGCACAGCTTTTGTAACATCCTCATGCTCTGCTCGAAGAGGGAATTTTAGAAAACTCTACAGATTTTTAGGTTTAGATGGAGTAAATCAAAATCATTATTCTATTTACATCTTCACGTATTCCATAAAAGATGAACTGTTCAAGTCTTGATTTAAAGATCAATGTATCCCTTTCGTTCTAAGAGAGCAGTCAGTATCTGTTTTATGCAGTCATGTTTACATATATGCTTACAATGTCATCAACTGCAGTTGCATAAATATTCCTTCTCAACATATAAGTACATACGTCATGCTTGCTTCTTTCTTTCTACTTACCCTGATATGGCTGGCTCCCGAATCTTGTCTACGTCTACTTCAAATAGAATAGTTCCTCCTTTTGTGATGATGATGGCTGATTCGACATGTTCACGTTGGCAAGCTTTCGTACAAAGCACCATGTCGTCTTTTTGCTTAAGTACTGCATATTCTTCAAAGACGGATTGTTTATCCAAAGAAACTGCAACGACTGTTTGATCAAAGGTAACAAATGCGAGCGACTGTCCAAGTTCTAGACTGGGTAAATGTGAAAGTGTGCCGGGAATAACTGAATAAGGTACAGATGCTGTATGCTGAATTGTTAGTCGTGCATAATCTTCGCGTAATGTTTCTCGGTCAATGGCAAGTAAAATGACTGCGTACTGTACATAATTATTCATTTCAGGCACAGAATAAGACACGAGTATGGCAAGCTGGCCGTTCCTAAACCTTATGTGTAAGCCAATAAAAAATATCAAAAGTATACACTTACTCAATAACATGAAGGTCATGTAAACTAGATTTTAGGCTATGCTTTGATACATGTGTCGGTATATGGCGTGCTAAGGCGTCCTTTATATGCTGATGAATAGAAATAACGGATAAAAGCTGTTGCTCACAAAATATAAGTTCCCTTTGATGCTTTATATCATCCTTTTTCTTTCTTTCTTACCTTGACTTTACTCTCTTGATCGATCTTCCATACAGCGATGTGATCAGGGTATGCAGCATAAATCAAGCTATTGTTGACTGCAATACTGACAATCTCCCCTGAACAAAGTATTGAAGATTTTGATACACTGGATAAATATTCTAATGACTTTGACGTGAAAGGTAGAATATCGCTCAGGTACGAAACAAGGCTTGCTTGCTTATAGAATGAGTACACATCGATCTTGTGTTGTTGTTGATAATCTATCAAGTAGATATTACCACTACTTGTGCCCATAATGGCCTGTCTTTCTTGGACTGGTGTAACAGCTGTGATAAGTTCATGCTGCGAGAGTGTGATTTGATAATCTACATAAAGTGACGGAGAGGTATAATCATCCCAATACAAAATTCTCCCGCTCTGACCGATTGCCAATATTCCCTTACTGCCAATTAAATGCACTTTAGGTGGACTATCCATATGGTTAAGAGTTAATTGAGACACCTGATATTCTACTGCTGGCTATAGTGTATATTTAGTTTTTGCTAAAGCATCTTTCTGTCTTTCTTTCTAACCTTGATCTTGTAGCGATAAATATAAATAGATTCATAAGTGGACACGAGCACGTATTCCTTCTCAAACGACGTGTACACATTCACAAGTTGATCTATATCTAGAATATTAAAGCAAAATACAATGAAACAAAGAAAGAATCTCTTACGTGATTTGATGGCTGATTCTAATAGAGAAGGAAACTTGCAAGCCCATGTCAATCTATATACATTTGTCTGACTGAGAATATCTGGATCGGCCCAAGGAGCTGGATACGTGGTTGATACTGGAACAGTGCATCCCATTGCGATAAATTCGTGTAAATCTACATGTGGTTTGTCCGATCGCTTTAGAAAATAAGGTGCTATTATCGATTGACGGATTCCTTTATGGCCAGGCTTAATTTTAGGCATTGAATCAAAACTATGGAAAAAAGAAAGAAACAATAAAAATGAAAGACTCTTTTGTGCGCCCTCGTAAATAACGATAAAATGACGAATCCGTCTGTACTTGAGATAAGTCATGTGCGGGTGATATACAGTCTTTCCGGAAAGTAAATTCGCCTGTGATCGAAAATAAATGCATCCAATGGTGAGAACAAAATCCATGTTGTATGAAATGTAAATTCGCCGTTACCAAGAATATTTTCGTAGT